AACTCTACAGTAACCCCTAACTCTCACTTCACATGCATTAATTCCATTTACTGTCATTAAAAAGTATTGATTATAGATCGTTTAAAACTGCATCTCAAATAATTTTCAGTAATATTTGTTTGATCAGATGTGACTGACGAAGCTTTCGATATTAACTAAGATAAACAGCACATTCAATAAAATGTATTACTTGTGCTTTTCAATAAAAGCACAAGTAATACATTTGTTTATTTATCTTTGGTCTTATCTGTTTTGAATTGCCTGAAAGACGGCAGCTACAAAACCCACTACGATACTCTGAGTGTGACTCATCTCTCAACGCGCACTTTTTGTGGTCACAATGTTTCGTTTTAGTTTTAGCGCTCACAGAACTGAGAGAATCACATTTTAGCCGTTGTATAATACTGTACAGCATGCATTATAAAACTGGACACACAGGATTTTCACTGTAGCAGAACCTTTTGTCCTGAACCTCCTGTAACAAATAATAACAGTAAATATCTAACAGCTACATTTACCAGCATGTAGCATTTACACTGTGTACAGCGCGGCTTCTGGAATCAACAACATGTTCACATACTTTGTAGAATTGAAGCTTTGCAGTTTAGTACAGCCAGCCTTTTAGATGACCATCTACAGTTACGTTAAGGTCATAGTTAACTGTTATAACTGTGAAAGATGATTTTTGCTGTAATATTAATGTACATTTTCAAAATAAGCTGCTGCATGGACGTGCCTCAGACGATAGCAGGCTTAAGGCCAATGCAGCGTCACACCTCTGAACTTTCTATTGTATGTGATCACAACTGTTGCAGAAGTAATCCATAAAACAGCTTCACGTTGAGTTCAGTGCCCATTTTTCTTGAATTATCACAAGATAAGATCGCATTTCTTTTTTACTAGTTGAAAATCTTTATCAACCACAGGAGTCAAGGTCTGCTGTTCTTGGCTACACAAATGCTGGAAATCACATCGCAAATCCATGACAATCCAAGTGTAAACAAAACATAACGGATATAAACTTCTAAATTGAGTGTCTGAACTTAAACATCAGAAACTGTCACAAGTCTGTGCTTGTCAGAGCAAATCTGACTTATGCTGTAGTATTGTAGTATAACATTGGATTTTAGCACAGTATAAATGATTCAAACTGCATTTTGACAGCAGTTTGCTACAACGTGGAGCCGTGCATGCTCGTGCTGATGGAGGCTACACAAGTTGCTCTCCCACTGCCCTTCTGCAGGGTCAGAAAGATTGTTTATAGGAGGCATCAGCAACTAAAAGCCTCACACAACTGAACAGTGACATTACTTCTTCTTTTTTTGCAGTGTAATGTGGCTTTATGAAAGGTGTCTGTGGTTTTATTAAAGCTGCTGCTGAAATATTGTGACTATATATAAGCGTACCCTATAACGCCCATATAAGTGTACTTCATAACTGATAAGAAGGAACCTGTATTGTGTTTGTAGATCTTTCAAATGCAAACAGGGTGCCTCGCTTAATACCTAATACAAAGTCCATATTCACTTCCTCTACTGTAGGAGCATTTCTTCTTTTTCACTTTTGCACCTTTTTTTTTTTATTTCCGACAGAGCGATGTCACTGTGATGTCCGTTGCTGGCATCATCTCAGCCTTTCAAGGAGCTCGTGGGAAAAGGACGCCGAGGGGAAGGAGCTGAGGGGAGAGGACAGCAGAAGAGCTTTTTTATGAGGACAGGATGGAGGTGACTGCACCCTGCATGCGGAGTTAGGAGTGATGATAGCTCCATGTGATTCATTTTTCTTTTTCAGCATTTTAAGCTGAGCAGGTGTGAAGGAGTCACTGTTTTGTGGAATCTAGTGGCTGTTTCTCTGGAGGTGACAAAGCTGAGTTCAGCAGCTGCTAGGCTGCAGCTATGGACGTTGAGGTGAGATTTCCTCCCCCCGCATTAGTGACCTCTTTGCCGTTTGCCTCATCATGGGGGACAAATTTTTCTACATCACCCTGGAGCTGCTGATTGCCGTCTTCTCAGTGCTGGGAAATGTGTTGGTCTGCTGGGCCGTGGCCCTCAACAGTAACCTCCAGAGCATCACCAACTTCTTCGTGGTGTCGCTGGCTGTGGCCGACATCGCCGTGGGCGTCCTGGCCATTCCCTTTGCCATCATCATCAGCATCGGGTTCTGCTCCAACTTCTATGGCTGCCTGTTTATTGCGTGCTTTGTGCTGGTTCTCACACAGAGCTCCATCTTTAGTCTGCTGGCCATCGCTATAGATCGCTACATTGCAATCAAGATACCACTCAGGTCAGTAACCATAAGGAAAAGTGGATCATTTATCATTTATTGGTGCAAAATTAATGAGTTAATAGAATGAGTGAAATCCTTTATAACTGCATTATTACGTGTGTTAATAAGTCACTAATAAACAGTTGATTAGCATTAGTAAAACAGCTGATTACTACTTATAAACCATTTTTTCAACATGTCAAAGCACAGAAAGAAACGAAGATCAGATTTGGAAAACAAAATAGGAACGTTTTAACTCTCTAAATCAGAGGGAAAACATTTCTTACTTTGGTCCAATGTGTTTTTTTAATCAGAAGCAGCAGAATTCTCACGATGACGCCCAACGTTTCATTTCATTTCTGTCGGTTAAAACATTTGACATTTGAACCAGATATTCCATGTCTGAATAAGACTGTTCAGAAACAGCGTCTCCCGCAGGGCAAATCCCCCCCGGAGCAATCAAACAAATATCGCTCTAATTGCTTACACAGACTGCGTAAGCCTCTTTTGTAAACTTACTTTTATTATTGTAATGTAAAAATAACAACAAAAAAACTCCAAACACAGTCAGATGTTGATTTAACATGCAAATTTGCCAACGACGGTGTATCTGCAGACCTGACAGGCTAAACCAGTGACAGTGCTGTGACCTCATCGTTACCGCACTGCTGCGCCGGTCAGACGTCTCGCCCTTTAGGGCTCGAACAGACTCCTCCTCCTGCTGAACATACGTACGTGACGGCTCTTCTGCGTTGTGTGTGTACATCCCTGAAGAGGAGGGGAGGGGGGGCTTGTTTTTGCAGTATTAACCTTTGCACTTTAACATCTGAAGAATGTGATAGAAACAAGCCAAACATCTCAGCTGCTCTCCCACACTGTGCTACAGGCGAACCAAAAATAGGCTCCTTCCTTTGAGGAGTCCTGAAAGACTCAGTTTGTTTATTCTTGTCTCTTGTAGTTCCGGTATGAGAGTTGCTTCCACAGAACGATCGCATAAGCAAATGATAAATCAACGGGGTACTTTCGTATACAGTAATAATTAATTCAAACAAGTGACGGAAGCTTTCTTATGAGGTTTATAGAGGTCATTGTGGCAGAGGGAAACAAACCTTTATCTCTGGGTTCTCAGGAGCTGACAGTTGAAGCTTGACACGTGTATTGTCTCCCTGTCCAGGTACAACAGCTTGGTGACAGGACAGCGGGCTCAAGGCATCATCGCCATATGCTGGATTTTATCCATCATCATCGGTTTGACCCCCATGATGGGCTGGCATCTTGGAAAGTCAAGAAATGTCACCAACGAAACCGAAAGCAGCCCCTGCCAGCCGGGCATGATGAAGTGCCTGTTTGAGTATGTTGTCGACATGAAGTACATGGTCTACTTCAACTTTTTTGCTTGTGTGCTGATCCCCTTGCTGCTAATGTTGGCCATCTACCTGTGTATCTTCATGGCAGCTCGCCACCAGCTCATGCTGATTGAAGTAAAAGCGTCTCATGGGGAAAAGTCCCGCTCCGTCCTGCAGAAAGAGGTCCAGGCTGCCAAGTCTCTGGCCATCATTGTGGGCCTGTTTGCGGTCTGCTGGCTGCCTTTACATATTATTAACTGCTTCACCCTCTTCTGTCCTCAGTGTGATCGTCCTCCTGATTTGGTTATGTATGTGGCCATTATCCTATCCCATGCCAATTCTGTGGTCAACCCCTTCATCTACGCCTACCGCATCCGAGAGTTCCGGCACACCTTCCGTAGGATTATTAGGCGGCACATCCTGGGGAAGCGGGAGGTGTTTGAGAGCGGCGGGAGTAAGCGGAACTCTACTCACAACAGCATCACGGACTCCATCAGGCTCAAAGCAAATGGCCTCAGCTTTGACCTTTTCACAGAGCACAGCAGCAGTACCTGTGAGAACTCCTGCCACTGTCCTGCTCACATCTCCCCTTTAGAGGGTGGTCTGGCAACAGTGTCTCACCCGCCTCTGTCAGTTGTTATCGCCCACTGCCCCAAAGTGGGGACGTGTCCACTTCAAGCCCTCAGGCAGACTCAGCTCCCGGCGGGGAACGACTGCTCTGAACCAGAGATCCTGGAGGAAAACTGCAAACAGAACCTCGCCCCAGCACAGGTTGCACTGCTGTTCAACACCCAGGACAGGAGGAGCTGCTGTAGCGAGCTAGATAAAGTGCACTGATCTATGCGCCGCAGGGATCATTTGCTAATTCCTCGCAGTTAGTTGTGAATGTCTGCTCAGGATCACCATGAATCTCTAATTTCCAATGGGAGTACTGTAAACAGATGATAGACAATGAATGTCACTCACTGAGATAAATGAAACAGGACTGAAAACTGTCTCTACTATTTAAATACAGTGACATGTCAATTTAACTCAGAATAAGTCTAAAAGGCACCGCTATTGTTACCGGGAGGCTACGTCTTATCAACCCACATGACCGGGGATGGTTTGTAATGTGCAGCCACTTCACAAGTTGTTCTGTGGAAATTTCAACACCACCGAATGTTTTTACTTCCTCTTTGCAAACAGCTGAAATACAGTAAAAATGCAGGCAGTTGATAGAAGGGTCTTTATGGAATAGGAGCATTTATTGTAGGCGTGTCAGGATAGCCACCTTTATTTAACCACAGTGTGCCATTTCAGGTCTGAATGTGATGTGTCTTTAAATTATTACATTT